CTCCCTCATCTCTCCCAAGAAACTAACATACCACTCTTCCCAGTTTCCTCCCCCTAACCTTCACCGTCGGTTTCTTCGGCATGAACGTCTCCACCTTTTCCGAAAACCCGCCGTTAAAATGGTGGTTCATAGTCTCCATCCCCGTCCTCGTCGTCGTCCTCATCCTCTGGTACGGCGTAAAACACAATCTCGCGACGCAACGTCAGAACCCCATGCGAAGAGGTGTCTACGAGGCACTGTACCATGAACTTGCTACTGCGCAGCCCAGCCTATGGACTCGCAGCGGACCGAGAGATGATGTTGTGCCTGTGGGGTGGTGGGCAGGCTTCAAATGGCGACTCATCACGCGTTGGTTTGGCGAGGAGAAAGTTAGGCCCGGGAGGAATGTGGATGGCAGTGGGAATGCGACTGGGACTGGTGGGGAGGATTTCGGTGTCGTCGGACGATGCAGGAGGGCGTTGGCGAGACGCTGGTTGGGTGAATTGGCTGTCATGCCAATCCCGCACCACCCATCTCCTGGCTCCCAGAACGACAAACCTGTCCCATCGTCTTCTTCTCAGCGCTCCAGCAGCAGAGGCTCGGTGCGCAGCGAAGTCGCGTCGTGTATGCTTACTACCACCGCTCAGACTACGTCGCAAGAGATATCGGATAAGAAACTTGGTGCTGTGGCGCAGTTGGCGAGGGTCGCTACGCCTGTTGCCCTTGCGGACGCGGATCCGACGGCTGCGAGTAGGATGCAGAGGGCAGGGAGGAGGGAGGGGGGTAGTTTGAGTCCGGATGGCAGGGCGAGGAGGGTGAGCCAGACGAGTAGTGATGGTGGGGTTATGGTTGAGGAGAAGGGGGGGAGTGGGGATGAGCGGGAGGGGCGGAGGAGTGGGGAGAGGGATAGACGGAGGGTGAGGGGGTTGGATGTGCCGAATAGGAATTAGGGTAGGGATGTGGGTAGACTCGGTTGTGGAATTGGATTGTGGGATTGATTTAGGTCGTGGAATGTGAAAATGAGAGATGAGATGGCGTATTTGCCGCCGGTTTGCAGAATACATGCTCTTGCGTCTCGAGTTTTTGATGTCCCATGGACATCGATGCCAGATACCACACCTTTTAGTCCTAGCCACAGCGCGTGTCCGGCGTATAAATACCCCTCTCACAGCACTCTCTTCCTTTCCTTCATTACTTACTTCCTCCTCTTCAGGAACAAAAAACGTCTAGGAGAGGTCTAATGGGTGCGCTGCCTCCTCTTTCTCCAAAAAGCTCGCAAAACGCCTGCATGTCCTGCGTCTTCCTTCTTTCTTCCAAAAGACAACATTGTGGTGTCATGACTGTTCCTCCTCGCCTTCTCTGGATCAGTCTCAAAAAATCTATGCCAGGCGTGCATGTCTCGCTTCTTCCTCCAAAATCCCTAAAGGTCATTCTCAATGACTGGTCTTTCCGCCTTCTCTGGACCGCATCTAAAAGCACATTGGTGTATGCCATGTGCTGTTTCTTCCTTCGAAATGTATCGATCGCCGCCTGATGACTGTGGCTCCCGCCTCCCCTGGATCGATCTAAATGGCTGGAAATCAAGCTTATGTGCTGTGTCTTTCTCCAAACCCCACGAGGGAAATACACATGGCTGTCTCTGCCTCCGCCTCCCCTGGACTGATTCAAAGCTATCGTCCCCTACGCCATGTGCCGCCTCTTCTTCCAAAAATTATCACAACAATCAATCATGATTGCCTCCTCCGCCTTCCCTGGGCTTTTCCAAAAACACAAGCAGACAGATGGATGACTGCCTCCTCCGCCTTCCTGGGCTTAACCAAACTCGTCATTCGAGAGACCATGTGTCGCTTCTTCCTCCAGAAAACGTCTTCATCAAAGTCAGATAACTGTTCCTTCCGCCTTCTGGATCCAAATCTACGAGGATATAAGTGAGCTATGAGCGAGCTTTAAGTTCCTACTTCCTTCCTCAAAACTTACCTTGGACTGCTTTTTACCAAAAACCGGTGCGAAACCTTCTATGTTCTGCGTTCTCGGTTCTTCCTCCAAAACCATATTCAAACTACCCGTATGAGCCAGCTGGAACTGGACTATCCTATCCAAGATGTGTGAAAAGCCTATCATGGGTGTTTCTGGTCTCCAAACGCTACTTGTATTTTCATTATGGAAAGACCGAACAGTCATCGGCTCCAGTATATGTCGGCGTCCTCCTCACGCCCACTGTGTTCAACCTAGCGCAACCACGTGTTGCGCATATATAAACCTCCGTTGCTGCGCTCTACTTCTCTTCACACACTCACATTCCTCGGAGTGGGACCAAAAGATTCATGCCCCTGGCCCATGGGCTGCTGTCTCCTTCTTTTCTCCAAAAATGAAAGACGTTTCGGAAATGTGCTGTCGGCTCTGTTCTCCAAAACTTCACGGGCTGTGGTTCTATGTGGCTTGCTCGTCTCTTCCTCCAAATATCATATCCCATCACACCGTGATTGTTTTCTCCGTCGTCGTTCTGGATCTAAAAACAACACACAAATGTGGCATGAGCCAGACACAAGGGATCTTGCTCTTTCAAAAACAGAATTGACGAAATTATGTGTCCTTCTGTGTCATTTCTCGCAATCACACCGGTGGATAAAGACGCCGTATCAAAACAGTCACTAAACGTCAACATGAGTGTGGCTGCCTGTGTCCTTTCTTCCACTTGCGAAAATCCGGCCGCTTCTTTTCATGGTTGTGTTGGTCTCCTCTGGTGGGTAGGACGAGGTATATAAATCTTGCGGCTGGTGGAGTCGTTCTTTCTTCTAACACACTTCTACTCGTCTTTGTATGACCAAAAAAAAGCAGGACATGTTGCCATGTCTCTGTCGCTTCCTCGTTTTCTCGAAATAAACACCCAGACGCATACATGTGTTTGTCGCTCCCTCTTTTGCTCTAAACTGAGCCTCGACTGTGTTATGCGTGTGTCGCTTCCTCCTTGTCCCCAAACCTCAAATTGGAGCGCGAAAAAGGTACATGTGCTGCGTTTTCGAATCTTCCTCTAGAAATTGAAGATTGGCGGTTGTATGAACTGGCGTTTTCTGGAAAATTCAAAAAGTCAACCATGATAAATCCACCTCAACACCATCCTTACAAAGACCAACGCAGTCTTCGACCAACCTTAGCCGCAGAAGCGATACGATCAGGTGAGGTCTGCCCAGAAATGATGTTACCTCAGCCCCGTGGCGACTGTAACAACGAACAGCAACTAAACAGCCTTTTGGTCGAGAAATGACGTTCCTCGCACCACCATCATGGGGAAATACGAGAGCGCACCTAGCGTCTCCACTGTGGCCATGTTGGCAACACTGGTAGACTAACTACATAGCGGTGGCACACTCACCTAATCAGCTCACAATCCGAGGGCATGGCCTGCACCCAATATCTTATCGTCCGTCCATCTCACCCCAGAAGACGGTGAAGGAGCACACTGTTCGCATCGTGGGAGAAGGGCATAAGACGTTGACGCCAAATATAGGCCACAGGTGGACCGTGATGCGCGCGTTGTGGTTAGTGGACGGGGACAGCCTTGTCTGCGCGTTAGTGCGTCATGCCGCGAAGGGCAGTCTCGGCTGGCGATCTCGGCGCAAAGTGACGTCTAAATGCCCGAACGAGTAAACTTTGTCCGTCCGTACGGCTAATAGCCGTATTGGCGATTGATTAATCGGCACGACTATGCCTTTGGCTGTGGGTTGGGGGCTCGTATTGCGAAGATTGGGGATTGTATATTAGACCTTCGTCGCGTCGTTCGTTCTGCTGTACTCACAACCTCACACAATCACGCCTCACACCTCTACATCTAATACCAACCCACCAAACCCACACATACCAACCGCAAACATGGTATCCTTCACCGCCCTCGCCCTCCTCGCGTCGACCGCCATGGCCGGCCCCGTCGCCCGCCAAATCGCCATCCCAGAAGGCTGGACCTGGCAAGTCGAGAACTGGGAGGCCGGCTGCTCCCGCCAAGGCTGCTACTACAACTTCAACATCACCGTGCCGAGCGTACCCGAAGGTCCCGCTGGCGTCAAGGCGTACTGCCACGGCTACGAGCAGGGTTACGACCAGAGCTTCATGATTCCTTCTGCATACGAGAACTGCCAGTTGCTTGAGGGTGTCAACAACGGTGTTGCGGCTAGGCTCTCCGAGAGGGTGCACGATGGTCAGGGTCTTGGACCTAAGGAGATTGAGGTTAGCTTTGAGTATGGCGCGTATGGTGACCGGTAAGTTTTGTTCTCTATCTTGGAAATGTGAGAGCGTGTAGACTGACGATGTCATAGCCCTGCGTACAACTTCTCCGGCACCCACGAGGCTAGGTACAACCAGTTTGTCACCTACCCTCTCAACTTCACCATCACCCCTACCAAGGTCTTCGGTATCGCATAGATGGGGATGACGTGGAGATCATAAGACGCTATCCTCGCGAAGTCGTACCATAATGAACAGAATCAGCATAGAATAATATTAATGACTGCAAAATGCAATAATTGAGCCCCCAATCCACGACGTGCGTACTCTACTATAATTGTCATGCCACGTCATTGGCCAATAGGCGCAAGCCTTATTATTAGTAGGGAAAATAACGTAGAAGACTAAAAACAGTATTTACAGAGATATTTTATTACCTATAAAGCTATTTTATAGCTTTATAAATCTATATTATAATATAAAAAGATCTAAAAACGCTACTAAAGTAGAGGTATTATTTAAAAAATAAGCTAAATATTTCTATTAATAAAGAAACTAGCTTAAAAGTACCTAAAACTACTACTAAAGCCTACTATATAAAACCTCTATACTAATCTAGTTAACCTTATTAATTAGAAGGCAGAGCTTCTTATAAATAGAATAGAAGCTCTCTAGAATACCTATAAAGGTTAGTAGAACTATAAATAGTATAATATAGAATATAAACTTACTACTAAAGGCTCTAATAGAAGAAGAGTTATATAAAAAAAGAGTGTTTTAAGATATAGTAGAGTTAAAGCTAAGTATAACACTAGTACTACTATAATTATAGAAGCTAGAAGAGATAGATAGCTAAGCTAGAATAAATATATCTTAACACTTATAGAACTTATAAGATCTAAATTCTAGTAGAATAAACTTATCTTTCTTATCTAAATCTCTAAAAATCTTATTACTATAGCGCTTTTAAGAGGTAGTCTTAAAGGCGCTCTTCTTTTTAGACTTAATATAACTATCTATAAAAGTATTAATAGATAGCTATAATAGTCTAAAAGTTTATAATATATACTATAGATAGTGTAATAGGTACTAGAAGAGCTCTAGTAATAACTACTATATATACTAAAAGTAATACTCTTAACTAAAATATAACTAGTAAACTAACTACTACTATTTACGCAAGAACTATAAGTAGTAGTATTAGTTTTTCTAGTTAACTAGATTAAATAGGCTTTAATATTTATAGTATAATCTAATCTATAAAGTTAATAAAATAGTCTATAAAAGATATTTTTAGACTAAAATATATACTTATAATCTTCTTTATATTAAATTTAACCTTCTTATAGAGATTAAGTACTCTTCTATCTCTCTTAGTAATTATATCTATAATATTCTTAGTCTACTTATTTATCTATCTAGTAGCTATATAGATTAGCTATAACTAGGTTTTTAGATTCTTAAGGTTACGCTTAGAAGTCTTATTATCTAAATTAAAGTCTAAATAATTACTTTTTAGCTTTTTAGCGTTCTAAGTAGTAATATAGATATTCTATTTAGAGGTCTTCTTCTTTACTAGATTATTCTTCTTAGATATTATAGACTAAAAAGTAGCTATTATAGACTAAAAGCAAAGTATAGTAAACTATAAAATAGAGTTTATAGATAGAATAGTGTAGATATAGAATAGATTAATAAAATTTATAGAGCTAGAATCTAGAAAAATATTAGT